GACCTTCTTAGCCCACATAACCATTTTCACACAATCCGGGCGATGAGCAGGATCGCCGGAAACGGAAGGAATAGCTACAGCTTCCTTGAGTGTGGCCACAAACTCATTCTGGCGCTCATCAATGGCACTAAAATCAAGAAATTGGAAAAGACATTCGTTTGCAAGTAAAACGACAGTTAAACGATTAGAAACTCACGCAAACACGCGCTTGAATGTTTCTTCACTAACCTTCATGGTCGCTAAAGCTCCTGTTAAGAAATAATGAAGAATTACTTTCAGAAAACCAGTAATATTAGCACGATGGCAAAACATAAGTTTGTAAGGGCGAAAACCATTACGAAAAGCGAATTGAAAGCGTTACAGACCAGACTGAACTGCCTGCAGTCAAAGACTGAAATTCACCTTTAACTTAATCCCTAAAGCTAAGCCCTAGTCCATAACTCTTGGCATCTATTGAAACGTTTACCGTCAGTTTATTACAAAGTGTGAAATGGTCCCCTACAGGAGGCAACGGGGCAGACCAATTGCCTCAGAATTCGTTCGGGGCAAACAAAACCTTGACAACAAATGATTTTAACCGCGTTAGTTCTGATAACCACTACACAAGCTCAGCGCATGTCGGAATTCCTACCCTAACACTAGTCGCACAGGGGGGACGGAACGTTCAACTAGAACTGGGTGGACGCGGCAAACCGCGCGGTGAAATTCGTGGTAATTGAACGAATTTGGCGCCTATCATTGGGGCACAAATTTTAAGTGGGATAGATAAATAGCATTAGCTGGCCCTACTTATCCAATCTACTCGAAACCCGTGCCCCAATGATAGGCGCCGAGGCCGTTTTAATCACCACGAATTTCGCCGCGGGGTTTGCCGCGTCCATTCAGTTCTGGGTGAATGTACCCATACCCAGTCGCACAGTTGTATTTGCAATAATGTCGAATCACAGAATGTGGTAGGTTGTTCGTGACCACGGCTATATAAATGGTCATCTCAAAATCTATAGATTAATGGTTTATTTTCGACGAATCTCTATGCGTCACCATCGGGTATACCCTTATAGTACAGTGTCCCCCATTTCGGACCTTATGATCGTGGTCCTAGGGCTTAGGAATATTTTAACCTGTATAGAAATGAACTATGATGACGATAAAGAAATGGATGCAAAACCGATTCCACTCATGGAATTGCAGGGTAATTCGCTTTATGGAATGGAAGTATCGCTTAGTGGAGACTGAATTTACTAAATATGTACTGATTTTGAACTTCTGTTTGATAAGGAGTTCAGCAAAGCATTCCATGCTTTAACTGATTTTAACATATGTGACTGCATTCTAGAAAACAGAAAGTATTTAAAAAAACACAATAAAATATGGTTCAAAAACAAACTACAGTGGCCTCAAACTAAGCGAGACTTGAACAACAATAACCAGTAAGAATTACTTACTTATTGGAATGCGAGCTAATCGT